AGGGACAGCATGGAGGACTCTTCCATATCCCCCCTTAATATTCTATAGTATTTGGTGAGTCACATCAAAGATTAGACACATGCAAGTTTTCTCTTTAGTTTGGTTAAGTCCAGAAACACATACAGAACTAACATTTAAATTTCTAGGCACTGAGTTTAATTTTAACAATTTGCCCCTATATTCTGTACATAAATTGCTCTTTTTGTCACAAGAGCTGAGTTGCATATACTGTGAATACATCATGTTGTTTTTGCCAATCTTACCTGTTCCTTTGCTCCTCCTGTCAGTATTGAATGTATGCAAACACTTCTTGTTGTTCGATCATATATCTTTTAAATTGATTCACTGCACAGAAAGAACACCTCTTACAAACTATTTAAAGGTTCAGATGTGACTTTTGCTTCCAGATTTCATTATAAACATTTATACATGTGTGTCTACCACTTGGATTCAACACTTGTTAACATGTTGCCATATTTGCTTTATACTTGTGTACATGGATATAGTTATACATATATTTTTGTATATATGATATGCTCTTCCCTGAACCATTTGGATGTTGTAGACCTACCCATTACCCCTCAACACTTCAAGCATGTTCTAAAAATAATTATTTAAAAAATAATATTTTAAACCATAATCCTGTTACAAAAATAATACCCTAATGTAATTTAATCATGCATATTTAGATTTTCCCAGTTCTCCAAATTTCTTTTATAGCTGGTTATTTCAAACCAGATCCAATTAAAGTTTACACATTGCATTTGGTAATGTCCTCTTAGGTATAACACTATTTTAGTAAAATACGGAAATAATTGGATAGTTCTAAATGGTCATATTTGTTTTGCATTTTAATTACTTTTAAAAAGGTAGTATTATGGGAGCCGCCTAAAGATGCTTAATCTTCCTAAGATTTCTGATTTATAGTCTTTTTCTTGCTCTTAGCAATAGCGTTACATTATAAGTATAAATGAAGATTTAAAGTCACCTCAGATAAAACTATCATGTGTATGCTAATAAAAAATAAAAGTATTACCCATATTCGCCTTATACAATTTTAACTTCAAGAAATGGATATTTTTTTGCTGTTAATCATTTTTCCATTGTAAAAGCTCTTCCCTCCCACCCCCCTCGTTTAAGACTGTTAATGTAGGGTTTGTTGTTTTTTGTGTGTGTTTTTTTGCAAATACAGTGAGCACCTGTGTAATTGGACAGTAACGTACTCAGATGTCATGATAGCTTGCATAGTACTGTCGTTGATTTGCCTCCAGCGCCCCTAGAAACATGCACTGAATCCAAAAGAAAAATCTGGGCTTCTTTTTGTCCAGGGCTTGTTCTATTCAATTTAGAATCTGAAAGCTGTATAAAATAGTAGGAGTTCCATTTAGGTATAAGTTCAAAACTATATTTTAAATTGTACGTGGCCCTCTGTTTAGAAGATACTGATTTACTATGTAGGCTCTCTAAATGCAGCATTGTTCCTGATGTTAAGAACAGAGACTGTATTTTTAAAGTTACACATCTGTATATAGAACTAAGACATTGCTGTAATGTCTCTGTAAGCTGTTATGGGGCAGGGGAGGTGGGGGGAACAAAGGGAGGAACCAATTAAATAGGACCTTCTAAAAGTTGTTACTTTTGTAAACTTTGCTTCTTTTTAAGTTATTGTGATTCCTTTTAGTTACTGAGTTTTATTTTGAAGATATTTAAATATTGCACTTGTACAAATAGTATGATAAATGCGTAGACTATTGCAGTAAGTTCTTTTTTAAGCTGGGACATTTGAAATGACAGCTTTTCGTTGAGTATGTAAAGGTTGCATCAGAATTTTCACGAATTTATTGTAGTTTGCAAATTCTTACTAATTGAAGATGTAAAGGAGTCAATGCAAATTATTTTTTATCTTTTTTTATCTTCAGCAATTTATATTTTTTTGTGATTTTATGCAACCATATTTTTACTTTGTTTTGACAACTGAAAGATGTATAAGGTTTTTTGCCAGAAATGTACTATATACATAGTTTTAAATATAACAGATTTTACTGATATGTAAAAATTTTGCCATTAAAATAAATGATTTCTCACCGAGAGGAACTTTTCTACCACGTTGGGGGATATGGGAGCTTAATATATCTAATTTAAAATAATTTCACTGAAATAAAATTCATTGCTTTTACTTTGATTATATATTCTCTTGAGATGCTTTTATAGTTTTTTTTCAGAGTTTTAAATGATTTTATACAAAAAGTCCTGCCCTCTCTTACCCCTGCCCCACCCTTTTTGACCTTGTAGTGATAACATTCACATTGAATACCTGCTTGCTGGACTGTGGCTATGCATAGAACTTTATGCATCTATGCTCTGACTGGCACCTTTGGAATGAAAGGAAAATATGCATTGTTTAAATCTTTTCCCCTTAAACTCCTATTGCCCACCTCCACAGTAGAAATCTCCTTTTCATTGTGAGTTCTGGCCAGATGAATGGAATTCCACACACAACATAATTAGTACAGTAGACATCAGTCTTCATGGTGTAATATTCTGAGACACGTTCATGTTTGTTTTGAATGGAGTATATTTAAGTATAAAGTTTAAAATGCTTTGATTTAGAAATGGGTAATAAAAACCCATCATTTCTCATGTTTTACAATGTGCTTAACTTTTATAGCCTCTGGGAAAACGAAATGGGGGAAAAACCCACTTGTTTTTTATAGCTGACCATCTGCACCTCCCTTTTAAAAACAATGTACCTAAATATAATTGCAGTGCTTGGACAAACATTAACTTTTGTCTCAACTCTAGAGAGATGTCACAGCATAAGTCCAGGCAGGTTTGAGAGAACATTGATTAAAGCTGGGAACAGGGACGCAGGAAGGAATTAGGGTAGAAGCAGCAACAGGGGGAAAGTTACAGGGAAGAAGCTAGCCGAGAGGGGCTGCTGTGAGCTCTCCAGGAAGTCGGAGAAAAAGGGGGCTTTGGAGACAGCACCAGGGGGTGAGCTTGGAATGAGCTTCCGCTGGCCACTGCTCCCCTGGTTGCAAGTCTCCTGGGGACCCCTAGAGTTTAGGAAGAAATTAAAAGTTCATGCCCTGGGAGGGGCGGGGGTGTGCTTCTATAGCGAGTGAGCCCTCACTAAGCCTTTGTCCCAAGGGCTTTCATTCTCCCCCCGCCCCCCTATTTTTTTCTGCAGGTGAAAATCTCAGGGGAGGGTTTCAGTAAAATAGTCATCCGGTTTCCAGGTGCGTTTTAAATATGATGATGCATCAAAATGAGTGTGCACTGGAGTTATTCTTTGGTCTGTTTTACTTTCACCTTAGGTCTGTCTGGCTTTAACGGGGTTTTTGTTCTGTGTTCCCTGACTTCACCTGTCCCTGGGGTAGCGGGTCCAGATGGCATTAATCGGGTCTTTGTTCTCCATTTCCCAGGCCGGGTGACTTCAAGTCCCCTGGTTAGGGTGGGGAGGTGTGAACACCTGCTCTCAGGTGTCCTTGGCTGGGAAGATAAGGTCTTGCGATTCCCCAACTGGCTGTAATTGTCCGAACTGCTTGGCCCTGTTTAATTTTCTTGTCTGTGTTCTGCTCCGCTTGCTGCGAGTCTTCCCAGCTTCTTACTGTGCTGCCGCCGGAGGCTCACCCTGCAGGAGCACTGGCGGGCACCTGTGGCTTTCATCGGGGCCGCGGTGGCAGAGCGACCTTTCTTCCGGGGATGTTGGGCCTCCGGAGGTGGCTGTAATTGTCCGAACTGCTTGGCCCTGTTTAATTTTCTTGTCTGTGTTCTGCTCCGCTTGCTGCGAGTCTTCCCAGCTTCTTACTGTGCTGCCGCCGGAGGCTCACCCTGCAGGAGCACTGGCGGGCACCTGTGGCTTTCATCGGGGCCGCGGTGGCAGAGCGACCTTTCTTCCGGGGATGTTGGGCCTCCGGAGGCGATTCCATTGGTGGCCACAGCGGGTGGGGATGCCC